TGGCGCCTCTTACATCAGTGAGTTATTTTTATGGAATGGCCGATGTCCGATATTTACCTTTATCGCTAATATCAGCCAATACCATGCCGATAATATCGTGCATCCCTAACTTTTATCATGAATTTAAATGCAATTCTAAAGACAAGTGACAACACTGTCTGTTAAATCCAAGACAGAGGAATTACACTAATAACAATAAAAAGTTAAAATAACACCAGAATAGCATGACTTCATTGTCTCGCGTCCTCCTGTTGCTCGTTTTTACACATATCGCCAGTCACATAAATGATGGTCAGTTCGCCTCACAGAGCAAAATTCACAAGAACTGGTTTCAAGTAAATTTATCAATTTTGCTTGCAACTCTGTTCATAAACATACAGATACAGATAAATTTGTTTTCACCCTTCCATGATATTGCACAAGAATGTGACTGGCCAATCAGGTCCAGTTTTGTCTCTTAAGTCCCAAAAACTTCTCCCGGACAACTACAGTGTTTTTGTCCATGCTTCAGTGTGGGTGTGCATGTGCCTGCCTGTCTGCCTGTTAGCACAATATCATGAACCAGTGGACAAGTTTTAATAAAAGTTGTATAAAGTAAGTAACGGACATACATCTGCTGATGGTGTGAATGGTTGTCTGACTCGTTTGTCTCCATGTGGCCCTGTGATGGACTTGCTACTTGTCCAGGGTGTCCCCTGCCTCTCACACAAAGATAGATTTATAGAATCAGTTAAAAATCGACTCTAGTACCAACCTTGTGCAGGTAGAGAATCCCTTTCTGCCTTTGGTGATGTAACATTGACAGAAGGCGTGTTCCTCACGCTAAATAGGTCTCGCACTGGGCTGCGACTGTTGGCGATCACTTGACAAGTTCAACTTGACTTTATTTTGTGAGAAAAACATCAAATTTTCTCCTGCAGTCTTATTTAATTCTGAGTCTTTACAACCAAGTGACCAGCGAGCCATGTGGCCGCATTTCGAACAGCCAGTTTTTGAAAAGCATGGCCTACTTTTGTGTGCACAGTTTGCAGAATTATATTCTGGGCCACGCACATTATTTCACTGGCTAAGCTTGGTTTGTTTTAATGTATTGGAGTACACTTTTGAAATGAAGATATGCAGATCTGGACGTTTTTTTTTTTTTTTTTTAATCTCGTATTATTTATTTACTTTGGCATGATTTTAGATCTCGACACATTTTCTGTCTGAGAGCATCCAAAAATGCAGAACTCTTAAGATGGGTTAGAAATGCCCACAACAGAATTAAGAAGGGTTGGAAACAGCTGTGATGGCTCACACTATTTTAATTTTTTTTTTTTTATTATTATCACAATTTTTTTTAACACGTTCTATGTTAAAGCAACAAGACTGAGCCTTTGCAACTCAAGCAGGAAAACAGAATTCTCACCAACATCTCAAGACATTTTGAAGACTCCCTAGCCAATGCTGTTCACCAGCCAGTCTCCAACAATCGCAGCCCAGTGAGATTCTACCTTTAACCTCTGAAAACAGAGAGTGGCAATGGCTCAAAATGAACATAAAGCAAAATAAACTTAACTGCTGTTCTTCAATTATTGGGCTCTACTTGGAATAAAACTGCAGACAGCAATAGATAATTTCTCCCTACAGTGCTCCCACATGTTGATTTTGTTGTTTTATTTACAGAGATTATTATCCTCCAGGAGGATTGAGAGGAGAGCACCTCCTGGACATATTTATACGAGGAATAACAGATGATAATGTCCATTTAATGAGCCAATAACCAACCGGTGGTGCAGGGGGACCCAATGCTGGATCACAGATGCATCTGGAGGCTGATGAGATTCACTAAACAATAAGTGAAAATGTTTCTGGTACTGGATTCATTACTCTTCCAATTTCCTAAAAAAAAAAAATTTCCTAACTAATAAATCCTTTATACTTACACTTTTCTTAGACATTTAAAAAAAGGAAAATAACTTGGGTTGATGAAATAAAATTGATCTTTTTTCTCAACTAATAAATCATGTATAATTAAACTTTTCCCAACATTTTTAAAAAAGGAGCATCGCTTGGATTGATGAGATGATTTATCGAAGCACTGGGTTAGACTCCAAATTAAAACATTGACCCACAGTGTTGAAGGTGAATTTTCCTGGCGTAGATTTTCATTTTTTGGCTCCAAAACAAAAAAATAAAAGAATCATCACTTCTCGATATTAAATCTCCCATGTGAAGCGACAGAAAATGCATACCGAAGGGTTCACAGTCCATATTTTGGGATGTAATAATGAGATGGAAGAAAAACGTTGATCCATTTTTTCTACAGAACCACACAAATTAAATTTGGATTTATTTGTTTGTTTGTTTGTTTTTACCATGAAACAAAATTAAAACTGAAACTAAAAGCATCATAAAAACATTTCAAACAACATGTAGTTAACCTGTGGGAGGTAAGGCAGTCAAGCCTTCATTATACAACACTGAACACTACTAGACTTGAGCGTCTCTACACGACTCTCTGGCAGTTGTGCTCACAGTGTTGACTTTTTAAAAAGCACTCTCACAAATCACAACGATGCATTTCAAGTTTCTCTTAGCACGACATAATGCACAGACAGCTGAGCTTGCCAAATGCATTTCCACAGCCCTGCGTTGCACTCGCCGCTGTTGTAGTGAAATTCCATTCGAGTTATCTGTTGGGAGGTGATACTGGCCAACCGGCGCAGCCTGTCTAAGTTGTAATTTTGAGATGTGCGTACAAATACTTCTGCATGCATGTTCAGATTGATTTTCTACAGTTCATGGGAGATGAAAGAGGGTCCTAAGGATGTTGCTGTGGGCTCCAAGCTGACGTGGGAGAGATTGTGGCTTTGAGAGCGAGGCAGTGTGTGATAATGAGAGGGAGGAGCTTTCCCCTGGGCTTGGCCCTCTTCCTGCTCCGAGTTCTGACTTGGCACCGTAGAACCTCCTGGTTCTGCTCCAGCTACAGTTCCAGCTCCTGCTGCACCGCGCTCCTGCTTGTGTTTCTCCCAGGCTGAGCTCAGCTTCACAGCCAACGCCAGCAGGTTTTTCCCCAGAAACACAGTAGACACACGGGAGTCTCTGTACCACAGCATGCCTGTTCCCCTCAGGGCCAGGGTGAAGATGTTAATGGTGACCAAGCTGAGCCAAGGGTACAGAGCCTCCTTACGGGGTCCCCTCTGTCCTGGCAGGCCTGTGGCCCCCAGCTCTGTGAGGGCCACACATGGCAGTAGCAGCAAAAGGGCATAGCAATAGAAGAAGACCAGGCCCTCTGCCCAAATTGGCAGCCTCTGCTCTACAACCCCTCCAGATCCACCATGGGCTTCCCACAGCCCTGCCTGCAGGTCCAGCACATCCAGCAGGTCCACCACGACCCACAGGAGCCGACTCCTCACCTCCTGCTTCCTGCGCTGTGGAGTCATGTGGTCTGCGCCCGTCAAGATGAGAAACAGGGAGGGCAGGCAGATGGACAGCAGCAGCGTCAGGGTCTTCCGTGCCAGCGGGTCAGGCGGCCGGCGCTCCTGCCTGTAGTTGTGGCAGACGAAGAAGAGCTTCAGTTGGAGGAGCGACAGGAACAAGAACCAGAGGGCGTTGGCGAACCCGCGGCGTGGCGACTGCGCCTCAGAAACCACGCCGGCTGAGACAAAGCGCAGGGCGAGCAGGAAGCAGACATCACCTAGCAACACTGCCACGTACTGCCACACGCTAGGTCCCGAAAGGCCGCGAGCTCCCAGCATGCTCTGCTCCAGCAGGTAGAGGTCCACCACTGCCATCGTGCTCACTGTGACCAGGGTTGATACGCACACCTGGGGCGTGGGCACCATGCCTGGAGAACACACACAGATCCACACCATTTCTGCATTTGTCCAGCAATAAACATTAAAACAATAAAACGCCTGTTTTTCCAAACCAGCTGTGGAATACTTTGATGCTTGTTGCTATGGTTAAAGACACTGGCTGCAGAGGAGTCAGAGAGTGCTCTTCATCTTTGGCCAGAGCTGCACACTCTGGTCGCTCAAGCTGGGAAGCCTATTAAATTGTTTGTTTTATTTACCTCTCCAGTGCTCTTCGAATTAAACAGTTTTCATTTTCCATACAAGTAAACATAGCTCCTTTGTGATTCTCATCTTTCCCACAAGTTTTCTGTTGCTACTACTCTTCTTGTTTCTGTTCTTTTTCCTATACTCGGCTTATTCATTATTAATTAATTGCATTCAGGCGCAGCTAGGTACTCTGTCAAAGCATTTTCTTTGCCTCTATAGTCTGCCATGTTTATTCTCGTACTGTGCTGCAGCCTTTAATTATCCCAAATCCCATCTCTTTTTAGATGAATATTGATAACTTGCTATTTGTTTAGAGATGCGCTCGTCTCATTGCTGTCGTGTGCTCAGAGTGTGTCAGGGGCGGCTGCATGAACACAATGCTAATGTCACTGAATGTGATCTTATTTTGTTATGGCTCATATTGTATATCAGCCATGGACGACGTAAAAAACAGCATCGATCCCATAGTGAGAAAGGATCATTGACTTTTTACAGTGGGATCGAACCCGCATCTCTTTATCATGTTTAGCTGAAAAGCACGGCGCACACAGGCCACTTCACTGTCTGTTTTCTGCTTGCAGCCACTCGACGGTGTCAACCCCTCTCAGCCGGATCGATCACATTGTAATATAAAATCATTACTGGTTTTAGATGTGTCCTGATGGCAACAGTTGAGCGTGATCGAGCTAGAGACTGTCAGCACGGCTGCTGCCTCTGAGAAGAGTCTGTCAGTGAAAAATGTGTATTGATATCTCGGTGAAGGAAGACATAGCGCCCCTCTGACTGTAAGGAGCTCTGCCACCTCCTCTGTCCTGTCTGTCTCATTAAAGAAGACAAAAGTACTCCCCGCTGGGTCAAACCAAAAATAAGAAAAAGATCTGAGTTGTGCAGAAGAAAAGGGCTGTAAGTGAATGAGTAATTGGCCTTGTGGGGTCACTATATAGCTAAAAAAGTCTTATATAATAAAGTCTTACTGCAAGGCTGTGGTGGTTATCGCTCGCCACCAAAAACAAATGTCTTTGCCTTTGTTATTAGCATTAGCAAAATGTCCCATGAACCATTGGACAGATTCTAATTAAACTCACAGAAAATAATCGTTGGATGAACATCTACAACTGATTAGCTTCGAACTCGACCTGATTCAAGATGGCCACTGCAGCTAACTGACCTTAGAAAACACAAAATTGGTTATTTGTCAAATTTACAAATATTTCGCTAAATTTCTGCGTGGTGGAAGCTCACTGTCATTTCCAACACATACTGCAAGCAACAAACATTGACTGTTGGCATCAACCCTGTTAGAAAAATATCTTAAGAAGTACTGGATCGATTTTAATGAAATTCTCAATGTAATCACTGTATGAACAGCTACAACTGATTAACTTATAGAGCAATCCAAATTCAACATGGCAGCTACAGTTTATCAATGTTAGCCATAGGAAAAATGACTATAACTCTGGCTGTATAATAGTAATAATGTTATGTGTTGTCATCATTGAAGGTTCCAATGGCGAAATTGGCTCTCTGTATTTGACACATCCACCCCTTAGGTGGAGCAGTGGGCAGCTATTGAAAGCACCCAGGGAGCAATTGGGGATAGGGTGTCCTGCTCAGAGACACCATGAGATGTGCAATGACTGGGGATCTAACCTGGAACTCTTGGGTTCCGAGTCGGATGCCCCGCCTCTACCCCATCTCGGCCCCATGTTAGTAGCTGAGAGTTATCCTCAACAGTCTCTGAGAGCTTAACAGATCTTGCACGATCTTAAAATACTGCATGAGTTTTGGACCAAAGCAGCTATAACTCAATCCCTTCCTGACACAAAATGACTTTAGTTTAAAACATTGGCATGGAAGGCAGCAGGCGGAGGACGGCTAGGCTTTTAATTATTAATAAACTCAGAGAAGACTTAAATGTGGACAGAAAAGGACTTGTCTTGAGACGTGCATTTTCATAAGCAATTATGACCGAACAAATCAAAATGAAGTAAAGTTTTGTTTGAATACTGATGAATGAAAGAATTAAAGAACGATCTGAACTGATTAGTCTCGCTCAAAGGCGTGGTGGGAGGACAGGCGTGGATGATGCCGGGATTGGAAATATCTCATTGTCTACGAAGCCTTTTGTCTCACAGAAACCTGATTATCATTCCCCAAAACCTGAATGAATTTCAGCGAGCCGCAGATCGAGGATGGAAGGAGGGAGGGGATGATGGAATTTAAATGTGTCCTCTGTTTCTTTGGGGAACAATCTCAGCCTGCAGGGGTGAAGAAGTTTGCAACCTGCTGCTGCAGCTGCCCCTCTTTTCTCTCTCTGAGATCGAGCCTCCTATAGGTTATTCCACCTGCGCCTTGAATCTCACCCTGGAAATCTCCCTGTCCAGCCCGTGTTTGTGTTTTGACTTCCTGTCAGCGCCGTGTAATTTATTCTGTTCGGAGTGAGAGACGGGGATGTCAGCCCGCGTGTCCGCTCGGCTCATCAATAATGACCGAATTTATCATTCTGCTGTCTGCGAAGTGACACTGCTGGTGACAAGGTGAGGCAACCTATTTCACAGTAACCATGAGTAATAGCATATAATAGTGAGCAGGTGAAAGATTTGTGCAAATTCTGTTTGGCTCTAACAAAATCCTCACCCTCAGTTTTATCGTGACTCACAGGGCACACAGCATGCACCGTTGTCCAAGTAATCATCCAAAAAGCACTTTAATCCCTGCACCCCACCCCCAAACACACCCTGACAGATTAAATCCAAGCATGGGATTTTCCACTTCTATTTGTTTTATTATTAAACACCAAGCATTCTTTCAAGGAATGCTTATCGCCCACCACCTTTCACGCAGTTTTAAACTAAGATCTTGGGTTGAAAAGTGGCAGAATTGTTGCCATTTTGTTAAAGTCTTGAAAATTACTTTACACACAATCTCGTGATATCTTGCATGATAGCTGTTGAAGTTTGTGTTTTAAAGAACTGTCATGTTTTACCAAGGCAGATATTGGCTAAATATACAAAAAAATAAATAAATCTACAGAGTTATAACCATAAGGTTAAACAGCTGCAGTGTGTTTTGGGTTGACCCGAAACTTAACCAGTTGGAGATGTACAGCCACCGTCTGAGACTTTGATTGATTAAAATCTGTCCAGTACCTTATGAGATACTATGATACCAAACCAGCAGGATTGGTTCCAATAGCTAACACCAAGGTTTTAAGCAAACATGTCTTGCCGTAGCATGTGTTGTGGGCGATGGTCAGCTACAACCACACCATCCATCCATCCATTATCTTCTACCCGCTTCTTCCATTTTGGGTCAAGGGAGTCGCTGGTTCCCATGTCCAGCAATCACTGTGAGAGGGGCGGGGTACACCCTGGATGGGTCGCAAGTCCATCACAGGGCCACATAGAGACATACGAGACAAACAACCATTCACTCTCTCACTCACACCTAGAGACAATTTAGAGTTACCAATCAGCCTAACATGCATGTTTTTGGACTGTGGGAGGAAACCGGAGCACCCGGAGAAAACACACGCATTCACGGAGAGAACATGCAAACTCCACCCAGAAAGACCCCTGGACCGGGATTTGAACCAAGGACCTGCTCGCTGAGAGGCAGCAGCTCTACCAGTTGCGCCACCATGCTGCCCACAACCACACCATATTTTAGCTAAATATTTAAAAAACTGGTTTGGTTGTAGCCCTTTTTGCGTTTTCCAAATTCATTTCACTGTGGCAGTCATCTTAAATTTGGTTGCATCTATAAATTAATTAGCTGTTTACCTAATTATTACCTGTTGAAAGTTTCAATAAAATCTGTCCACTTGTTCATGAACTATTTTGCTAAAAGACTTTGTTTCAATAGTTTGTTGTAGAGCAATGAAGGGTGCTTATGGGACAGATCTGGTTGGCAGGCTGCAGACTGACGAAGTCCTCCGGATGGGGGATGAAGCATTTCTCACTTAAAGAAACTGGTCCAGATGACATGATAACCTCTTTTGTAGTTTGTTGTAGGGTTTTAAATGCAGAGATTGTACAATCAGGTATGCCAGAGTAGAATATGGAGATCACTCTCAGCTACTACCACACAAAACTTTAGCTCAATTTCTGTCACTGGCTGAGTTATAGCCATTTTTGAGTTTGCTAAGATCGCTTGGTTTTGGTGGCCCTCTTCAATTGGGTTGACTCCAAAAGTTAATAATTTATGGATGCCTACCCAATTATTACTCTGACAGTTTCATTAAAATCCCTTTACTGGTTTGTGAGATATTTTGCTAACAGACAAACGATAACGGACAAAAACATTATTGCTCTGCCTTTGGCGAAAGACAAATATTGAGGTGATTCCCTCCTGGACAGATGTAGAGCCAAGCTTTATCACAGACAACATTCATCCTTGAGTTCTGAATTGCTTCTCAGACCAAAATCCTTCACAACCACAGGTGGGGCGGTGGAGAGTCACCTGAGCCATTACTTGCCAAAATATTAATTTAATAGAGTCCCTGATTATGTCGAGTCAGATCCACATCTGTTGCGGTCCTGCTTTTTGTACGTTCCATATCGCTCCTCATTAACTGTCCTGCATCCTTTACTTTAAACCACCTAATGAACCGCCTCCCTGCAACACCTGTTTCGTAACTGCCCCATTAGCTGCAGGTATTCTGGATTTATCCCTGCACTGGATGGTAGTAATAAAAGAAACATTAAAGCTTTTAGTTACCCAAACCATTCGTGTTGCGCTCCGGCTCAATCGTCCTGCTGCTCTGATTTACAGCAAAGAAAAAGACGAGCGGTCTGTGACCAATAAAGTCCTTGTTAATGTGGATGATGAGGTGCGATAAAAGTGTCACTGTCCGGGTGTTGGAGCACACTCAGGCTCCAGGAGAACAAGTCATCGTTTCTAGTTCCAAATAAAAAATAAAAATAAAAGAGACTTGGGTAAAAATAAAAGATTTCCTCCTCTGCGCCGATCTAATGTGGCAGCTGTCCCCGTCCCTTCCTTTGCCTTTTTTTTTTTTTTTAACCTCTGTGGTGTTTTCAGAAGCTCCGGATCTGGATCTGTCGCCTCCCGCAACGTCGGGGTCTGTTGTTAATCTTTTGACACAGCAGCAGCAGGGGAAGGAGGAGGAGGAGAGTCATCCCCCGGCTGTGCACGGCAGCCGCGGACGCACTCAGAAGCAGAGCATCGTTCGGAGCAGAAACCGCAGAGAGCAGCCCCGGGAAGATGCTCCAAGAGCGGAGGAGGAGGGGAAGAAAGGAGAGGCAGAGATCCGCCGAGCAGCGCGAACTCCCTCACGCTTCCCGAGTTTTGGTGTTCATTTGTAAGCAGGCTACGTGCAGGAGGCTCAAACCTCCCACCCTCTTCAGTTCCTCCTCCTGTTTCCTCCTCCAGCAGCCTGTGTGGATGTCAGAGCTCTCTCTTACAGTATTTATTCTAAGGCGACGGTGACACTCAACTGCTTTGTATCGGAGCAGCACACCTTATTTACCCCCTCCCTGCTGGAAACTGGAGCAGAGGAAGTGGAGCGAAAGATGTTTGTAGCCTTAAGACACATTTAGAGCTCAGAAGGCAGATGTTACAACTTTAATTAGCCCTCTTTCTGTCTACTTACTGCCTTAGTCACACAAGGAAAGCATTCTTCTGTTGTAGATTAACTTAATAAATGCATGCACAGACAGAGGGGCGGGGAAGTTTCAGACTTGTGTAAAGGTTTTTTTTAAAAGGGCTGGCTCGCTTGTGTTGGAGCCCATGAAAGGCAGTTGATGTTTTTGCCCATGTCAGTGTGTCTGTTAGCAAAATATCTCACGAATCCCTACATGAGTGTTATTGGAACTTCAAGAAAAAAGTCATTAGGTGTGCATCTGCAGCCCAATTCAAGATGGCCACTAGAGTCACCTGAGCATACAAAACAATAAATGGCTATAATTCAGTCCGTTATTCTTTGTGCAAAAGCTTTGCTTAAAACTTCAGCAATGACTGCTGAAGTCTGTTTGTCTGTTAGCAAAGTGTCTCAAAAAACGCTGTTTCATTTTCATGAAACTCTCAGAAAAGATTCACTAGATGCACATCTACAAGTTACATTTTGAGTCTGTTCATTTCAAGATGACCAGCACACATTAGCGGCTGTGGCTGTATGGTTAGAGCAGTCGTCTGCCAATGCAAGAGTTGGGGGTTCGACTCCACCAGCAGTCACATGCCGAAGTTTCCTTGGATAAGACAGAGAGCACGTAATTGCCTCTGATGTGTATCCCATCGGTGTATGAATGTGATAAAGCACTGATTAGTCTCTTTAGAATGATTTGTTCAATTCGCTTTGTAGAGATCTAGTAGAGTGCTGGACACAGATTGTAGAGTAAAGCGCTTTGAGTATCTCGATAAGATAGAAAGGTGCTATATAAGTACAGTCCTTTTACATTTACAAACGTGTATAATTCAGCCCATTTGACAGATATTGAGCTAATATTTGATGTGGTAGTAGCTGGGAGTGATCTCCAACACATACTTTGAACATGACATCTTGCGATGTTGTATGGGATGGCACATTTTCAAGATTTGACCGAAACGACTAACATTTCTCAGCGTTGGAGGGTTCTTAGTTTAAAACTTGGGCATGCAAAGCAGCGGGCGATATGCTTTCCTTCAAGGAATGCTGGGACTTTATTTTTTTTGTTCAAGAATTCAATTTCAGTTTCTTTGTTGGCCGCATATGAATTCTTTTCTCAAATTTCACAGTGTTACTGTGCCTTCAAGGTCCGGCTTGTTTTTTTTTTTAGCCTTGGCTGAAGTCCTCAGCTCCCTTCTATTCTGTGGCTCCTGGGTTCGTTGTGGAGTGAGAGGTTTAATCAGACTGGTGAGAAATGCGATGGAGAGTCATCTTTCTTGTCAGATTCAGCTCTGCGCTCCGCTGGCTTCTAAGAGAGGAGAGATTTTCCATTTTCCTCACTTCAGTGTTTTTTTCCCCCAGTATATGTGTGTGTGCTCTTCATCCTCTTCCACTTTTCTGTCACACATCTGCTCATGCTTATCTCATACTCCTCTCCATCCTCTCTGCTTTTCGTCTCCTGCTCCCACCGGGTGTGGTTGAAGGTCACTTGCACGCTGGCTCACTTTCACAGAGGATGGAGAGAGAAAGAGTGAGCAGGGAGGCAGGCTGTCCACAGTACTGTGCACTCATCACTTTTTGCCTCAGACATGATCGGCAAAGTTTAAAAGGACGCGCAGGGTTATCCTAGAATGCTAACGGCATCAACGGCGAGTCACGCTCCTCATCAGACCTGAGGCGAACCTCTGCAAACACGCAGGAGTCGTCATCTTCTTATTCTGTGTCATATCACAGTGTGAGGAACAAATCACACCAGTGCAAGAAATATTATGCTGTTACACCACAGATTCATCTTTTCTTGTCAAAATCTGGCATTAATATCTTCCATAATTCAGCCCGACTGCCCACAGTTCTGCAGGTAGCAGATAATGAACCCTGGAGCTGCTAGATTCCAGCAGAGATGAAGAGTGGACTACAGATGTTTCAGAAGCTCACTTCTCTTTATGAATTCGTTAAACCAGATAACAGACACTTTTTGTCATCAGAAACTTTTTTCTAATTCATTAATTTTTAGGGGAGAACTATCTTGATACATGCCTTGATGGCAAAATACTAATAACTCCCCTCCACCATTAAAGGCAGGTGATCATGGCATTGCCTATTTACTGGGTGTTTGTTTCTGTCTGCTAGCAAAATATCTCATCAACCAGTTGATGGATTCTAACAAAACTCTCAGAAAGCAATTATCAGCTCTACATCAACAGCTGATTAGCCTCAGGAGTTAACCCAATTCAAGGTGGGCACCATGGCTAATCAATGTTAGCAAATTCAACCATAGCTATAACTATGATATTAAGCTAAAATTTGGTCTGTTAGTAGCTGAGAGTCTTCACATACTCCGGTCACTTGCAGGTCACATATTTGGAGTGGTTCTGGTGCAGTGGTAGGGCAGCCAACTCGGGATCAGAAAGTCGCAAGTATTATTCCCTGCCGTGCCATTGGGCAAAATGCCTATTCCCTACCTGCGGCTGTGGCTGAGTGGTTAGAGCAGTCGTCTGCCAATGCAAGAGTTGTGGGTTCGAATCCACCAGCAGTCACATGCTGAAGTGTCCCTGAGCAAGACACTGAACCCATCATAGCCTCTGATGTGTGTCCCATCGGTGTATGAATGTGATCTAAAGCACTGATTAGTCTCATTAGAATGATTTGTTCAATTAGCTTTGTAGAGCTCTAGTAGAGTGCTGTATGAATGGGTAAATGAGGACACAGAATGTAGTGTAAAGCACTTTGAGTATCTTGAAATAAGATAGAAAGGCGCTATATAAGTACACTCCATTTACCATTTACCTGCTCCCCAGGCATTTGCATAGCTGCATGCTGCTCCACTTGCATGCATCTCCTGTTCATGTGCGTCTCCTGCTCCTGTTCATCTCCTGATCAATTGCAGAGCACAAATTTTGCCATTGTATGGGGAAAAAAACAATGATGGCAGCACATGGTACTTTCACTTTCTTGTCACTTTCATCTTTGTTTAACATGCAAGGCAAAATGCATTCCTTCAAGGAATGCTGGTTTAATTATTTAATGAACTTCAAATATACGTGTGGAGTCCGTGGGCAACACATTTTTCATCGTGAACAATTGTTTTCTGGTGATCAGCACTTCACCTTTGTAATGTTTTCTATAATTTTTACTCCGATCATAGTAAAAACAAGAATCCATCTTTTATGTCAAAAATGTTTAAGTCAAACTGGAAAACCATTGTTATGGTTGTTGCGGGTTGTAAGTAATGAGCAAATTTCATGAGATTAGTGTTTGTTGGTGTGAAGGCCAGCCTTTGATGGACTTCACACCATACAAACAAAGACTAAAATATAACATACTGTACCACTCTTTCTCAGTACATTTGTGATAACTAATACACCACCATCATAACATCTGAGGATCAGTTTAAGCTCGAAAGCATGCAGACAGTTGTTTCAGTAAAAGGACAGTCTGACCTGAACTCAGCTGTTGCAGACAAGTCATTAGATCCTATTTTCCTTAACTTTTATCTTTGCTACCATCTGCTATTGCCCGGCTACAGTTTAACTTATTTAAAATGAGAATACAGAGTGAGGTGTCTTGACCTGAAATGTCCCTTACAAAAGGTCAGCTTCTTTGTTGACCAAAAAAAAAAAACAAGAAACAAGAAAAGAACAATCCTATTGCAGTCCATTTATTCCTATTATAGCAGGAAACATTCACAGACGGTACATCATGAAATGCTAGTTAGTAAAGGGTATTTATGAAAGACAGTAGATTGCATCAAACTTTAACTTTGTTGCAATCCATCGTGAGCAGCATGCTGGTGACAGTGAAAAGGAACAACTCCCTTTTAACAGGAAGAAACCTCCAGCAGATCCAGATTCAATATGGTATCCATCTGCCTGGACCTGCAGGGATCTGAAAGGACAGGAAAGAGACAAAAACAGAAGGACTGGTTAAGGTTTAGTTTCTAAAGAAAGAATCACAAAGAGAAAAACAGCAGACAGCAATAATTAACGTAAAGCATAGAGAGAGTAGAAACAAGAGCAGAGGGAGGAAATGCGTTCATTTTGTCCTCCAGCTGTATAAGCCTTTATCAGTTAAACTATGGGATAGCTCAGGAAATCCAAGCCAACGCTAGCTATAGGATTTAACAAAGACGAGTCAAAAGTAGAGTTTCAGTCTCATGTATAAAAACTAGAAGATGGTTCCACAAGAGAGGTGGTGATCACCGAAAGCTCTGCATCCTATTCTACTTTTAAAAGCTTTAGGAATCACAAGTAAGCCTGAGGCTCAGTTTACTCAACGCTGTTTTTAAGTGGAAAATCAGAACAATTATGTTGCATTTGGGCCGTTTTTCTATACAACATCTGCAAAAAGATGCATCATTGGAGAGAAGCATTTATTTTGTTTGCAATTTTAAATGTGTTCTGATGTTTGAGCCTGAAGGGTCTGCTCACGTGCGTGTTGTTGAAATACAAAAACCACAGCGCCTGCTAGTGACCTGACTTGGAAACTGAGCAACAATTGCAATCACAGCATTACCGTATGTGAAATGGTTTTTATAGTCAACATAAAAAAGCTTTAATGTTTGCATTAGAATGCTCACATGTAAACTGGACCTGAGAGATAAATGGTCTGTAAGAAAAATATGGATCAAAAAGA